TCGCCCCGGCCGAGGGGGGTCGGGCTCAGACCCCAACACCCGGCTCGGAGGAAAGGGGCTTGTTTTGGCAACTCCATCCTCGGGGATGGAGCCGGCGCTCCGCGTCCTGCCCGTCCCCAGCTCGGTTTTTCAAGTCCACCCTCTGCGTGTCGATGCCGGCACGGTGCTCCTAGCAGCTTTCAGCTCTTTTGCCCGATTTAACCCAACGCCACGTCCCCGCGGGTCCTCCACCCCGTAACTTGCCCCAAACCAGCTCTGCTGGATTCCAGCGCTTTCGCCATCAGCCAGAGCCCGAACCGGCCCTGCCAGCCGGTGACAGACGTGGTGACAGACGCGGCCGCACCAAAAACCTCCAGCACGCTGGTTTAAATGCGAAACCCCCAAACCCAACCTTTTGGGGACTTCACTGCTGTGGCTATTTCTAGCCAAGGACTGAGCCCAGCGGGATGCTCCGGCCACCTCTCGTACTTACCGCTCCATAAAAAGTTGGAGTCAGGTCGGGAACGAACATCTCTGGGTAGATGGTCTGGAGGTACCAGGTGAAGTTCTTGCAGTGGAGCTGCTCCCTCAGCTTGCGCCGGTCTGTAATGTCACCATACGTCTTCTATCGACAAAGTCACGTGAGAAAATTAAACTAACCTGCGAAGCCAGCAAGGAAAAAACAAAAAAACCCTCCCGAGCCGGGGCTCAGAGCTGAGGGGTCCTCCCGGATTTGCCATCATCCGAGCTGAGGGGTCCTCCCGGCTTTGCCATCGGCCGTCACGGCGTGCCCAGGACCGAGACCGGTGGTGGGGTCTTGCAAGACATCCCCGGTCCCTGGCAGGTACCCTCAGGCTCTGGCCGCTCACCGAGAGGGCTGGGACATTTTGGCATCACAGCACAACATTTTGGTGTTGTAAAAAAAAAAAAAAAAAAAAAAAAAAAAAAAAAAAAAAAAAAAAGGGGGGGGGAAAAAAAAAAAGATGTTTTTCTACTAGAAACCATTGTGGCCAAATAGAAAAAATAAAAAATAGCTTTTTGGCTACATCTTTCCACCTGCATTTGCTTTCCCACCTCCAGGCTGAGCCCACCTCCTCCCTCTGCTCAGGCTTGAGCTCCCAGCAGGATCAGGCCCCCCTGGGAGAGCCAGAAGCCCGTCGGCGTGCCCGGTACCTCTCTGGCCATCTGAGCGGCCTGCTGGTTCCTCCTGTAGAAGATCTCCTTGTAGTCGTCCATCCAGACCTCGGCCAGGCGGACCTGGTTCCTGGAGATGACCTGGGTGCCCTTGGGGAAGGTGTGGGGGCTCTTGGAGCGGAAGACGTGACCCACGACGGAGCAAGGGATGATCTCGACTTGACCCCCACACTGCCAGACCTACGGGGAGGCAACGCCTGAGGCGTGGGGGGCTCCAACCCCCCCCGTACCCCCAAGGAGCATCCCAAGGTCCAACCCCCCCAAGGAGCATCCCTGAAGACGCCCTTTGAAGATGACACCGACCCATCCTTACCCTGAAGGACATTTCCACGTTCTCGCCCCCCCAGATCTCCATCTGATCGTCGTAGGAGCCGATGTGCTCGAAGTAGGACCTGGAGATGGCAAAGAGGCCACCGGCAAAGGTCGGGGACCTACGGGGGAGAGAGAAGGGGGGCAAAATAGGGTTAAAATAAAAATACAGCAGCAGAAGTCTGAGTTTTGGGGACATCATGGTCCTCACGGTGGGTGCGAGCACTTTGCAGCTGTGTCCCCCCATCTCCCTGCCCCATCCAGCTGTGCCCCAGATGTGGTGGCTTTGGTGGAGGGGCCAGACCCAGCTGCCAGGAGGGGACGGAGGCGGCGGTGGCAGCGTGACACCGAGGGGCCTCGCTGCCGGCTCTCGACGCAAAGCAAAAGGGGGATATTGTTACCAAAAACCTATCGCCGAAAAGAAGGGGGGAGATTAGAGCTCAGCGGCCGGCGCCCCATTCACTCCTCCGGCTTCTCTAATCTTTTCCATCTGATCTTTAGAAGAGGCTGGAACAGAAACTTGCTTTTATTCAGGAAAAATAAATAAAAAAAGGATTCGCTGAGCTGCTGCGTTCCTGCCGAGCGGAGATGAGATGCCGCCGGGAGCCCAACCGCCGGCTCGCGGGACCTTTATTGGGAAGGGGACATCTCCCGGGTGACCTCGGCACAAAGGCAGCCCTGCCGCCGGCCAGGGGACGGGATGTGGACGGGGCCAGGCAGGGTGTCCGGTATCTCCCGGTGGGAGCACCCGGCTTATTGTGGGGCACCGACGGAGAAGTGCAGCAGGAAAACTCTTTCAGGGTTTCTCTGCATGAAAATAAGGGGGTAAAAATAGGGGTTTTGGTGCACAGTCTGGTCCGCAGGTGACATATTGTTGCTGCTGTGCCAGCGCAGGTGCCCACCCTGTGCCCAGGCAGCTGGGTATCCAAGAGCGAGAAGATACAAGACCCTTAATGAGAGACTTTGCAGGAGCGGAGAGATGGCTGGAGGCAATTCAAAGGTGTTTTTCCAAAAGGTCCTTTACGGCTCCATGTTCGCCAAACCTCAGACCATGCCTCAGCATCCTCTCCTGGGCACAAGCCATCTGAGATCCCTCAAGCCAAGCATCCCACAAGGGAAGCTCTGTTGGGAAGGGGCAGCATCGCCCGCCCAAAGGCACCAAAACCAACAGGGAAAACCCCAATTTGTTGGAAAAAGGAGCAAAAACAACTGGAGGAAGGGGCAGTTTCCCAGCATAGGGCACCCAGCTCT